TCTGGTGTTGCACTCACTGAGGGCCTTTTTACAGTTTGCAGGTCCCTTTTCACTGAGACATCCAAATGGTCTGTTTACCTTCGAATCAGAGATAAAAAGGATTCATGACAAAAGCTTGTGGGTACTGAAATGAAACTGTCATCAGAGCTACTGGCTTATTGAAAAGGCAGGTTGCTTTCTCATGCAGACTGTCATGCAGAATAGCTGAACCATGGAGGCATTATACTGACTGCCTGATGGGAGCTTCCTAAGGGTATGATATTTTGCAAGCAGTTCTTGTAAAACAAACAAATGAAAACAAAAAAAAAAGAAAACAAACCCCAACCAAATAACAAAAAAACCCACTGTGGGGGCAGTGTAACAATTGGTACAAAAATTGGGATAAAAGGAAACAAATGCATGAGCTGAGGCACCTATGAGATGGATTTCCCTGTGAATCCCTGCTCTCAGCCCTCTGACCCCAGGGGACCAGCAGAGAGTTGGTCACAACTGCAGCATGCTGCGTCAGATCACTAGGGTGAATCACAGAATAGTAGGGGTTGGAAGTGACCTCTGTGGGTCCTCTAGTGAAAGACATGACTTGAATGAATGGAAGTTGGAACTTAATAGCAGAAATGACTGAGTCTGGGTTTTTGCCTGAAATTCAGGAAGAGCTGCAGTCATCTGGTCCTCTGTGTGAGTCACCCAGAGAAGATGAGAGGTCTGTGTGCAGCAGTGCAGCGCAGGACAGAGTATGCAAGGTAGGCAGAAGAGAAGGAAAGAATGGTGAAAAGCAATGAAGAAGAAACCAGAGAAAGAGGACATGGGGGATGGTTTTTCAGAAAACAGAAACTGAAAATGTTTTAGCTTTAAAGATTTTCTTGGCTACTTCTGTCTAATCTTTCCTGAATTTCCTTGTAGAAAGGCTTTATAGAAAGGCAGGATCAAGTAAGTGGGGAGCAGCTTGTGCTCCCCGTGCTGTACTAAGCTCAGCGGCCCTGAGGAGCCCTGTCCGTAACTGAAGCAGGAGCTGGGTGGGACCTACTGTGCTCCTGCAGCTCAGGGATGCATTCCCCTCTTCCCAGTCCCTCCTGTTCCAGAGAGGTATGGTGACTATGGGGTCTCTTGAATGACCAAGCTCTGGCATGCACTTTTCAGGTGCTACTATTATGTGTGCGCTGGAGATTATGTTCCAAACAGTTTAACAGCCCAAAGTCTAATTTTACAGAAAATAGGGTAATTTTGCAGTTCCCCAGCATAAAAAAACATGATCTATCACTTTAATAGTCCTTGGCTGTTTCTTAACATCTCTCATCGAAAGGCTTTAAAGTGCAGTTAGACCTTAATGAATCAAGACTCGTGATCTCCCCAGAAGGTAGGTTTGGTGCTCGTTTCATTTTGCAGACGAGCAAACTAGGGCACAGAGAGGAAGTGATTTGCCCTCCAAGGCCATATATGGAGGCTTAGAATGAATCCAAACTCTGATCTGGTCACCCACCACTTTATTTTTTGAAGCCATTTTTTAGGTAAGTCTTGTGCCATGGCATCGGTGAGGTCCTAGCAGTTTTTTCAGATCAAATGTAAATATTGCCTCAAGTCAAGGAAATCTCTTCTAAGAAGCAACAGTTCAAAGTAAGGCCTTGTCTATTAGATTATCCATTTTTCTACACTTTACTTCTGGGTGGCATAATCTACGGTCCATGATACACAGAGACTTGACTCAGATTTTGTACTTGTATACAAACTTGTCCATGTGCATCCTTGTGTGCTGATGCTTTTCTGCAAGGCCTTGCCGCACCCCCAGCTGCTGCAGTGAAGGGGAGACTCTCTCCGAGCCCCCTGCACCGGCAGGCGGGCTGGGGGGGGGGACGCGC